ATCTGATTTGCATAGGAGTGTGCCAAGGGTCTACTTCCGGTGCCGAGTATACACGTGACGAGCTTCTCCGACTTTCACCCGTTACTTCCAGTACACTGAAGAAGATTCATCTTTTATACTCCTCCTTCTTCAAAAATACTACAGTTGACATTATTTTACCTGAGAATTATCTTTAATATTTTGACATTTCAGACATTTGATTAACATTATCGAATTAAATTTAGTTTATTTTGATTCAACCGTTCATTCCCACTTTGCAAAAACACTGTTTGTGTGCGCTCTTCTTCGACGAAGCTATGGAAAAGGTTCGTGCTCCTTCGAGTCATTAGTAGGTACTCTGTGTTCGTTTTGATAGAAGGGATAAGCAGAGATCAACTGAGATTGTTCCTTTGTCGCTGTATGTCAAACTATTAAGGACGTAACTGGGCATAGGTTGACATGGTCTCAGTTCTGGTATTGAAAGCAAAACAGACTTTATTTTAGCTCAGAACTGACCAGTCAGACCATTCCCGTCGCAATGATAATTTCCCTTTTAATCAAACTCTTCAGCTAGATCAGTCAAACTCGCAATGGTATGCTCGAAAGAGAACGTTTTTAGGGAAAACTCAGGCAAAGGTCCAGCCGGCCAGTTCTGACAAATGGAAAGCGCCCTAAGTTCCTTTAATATATCCCCTTTCCATCGTTCTGAGCTCGGTATTGGATGGCGACGGAACAGTTATTCCAGTTCGTGCCAAGTTCCACAGGAAAGCGCCAATCACATAATTGAAAGAAGAGGGAAACCTGTTAAAGCCGACAACAGAGTTAGAGGAAGAACATTTCAGAATATATCTATCAGCAAATCGGTATCCTCATTCCTGTAGGTTCAGGTACTCTTGGTTTATTCACTGTATTATATTCTAATTAGACACTTAGATTCAATCCACGAATACTGTATATAAAGTTTATCATAGTTGTCAACTCTCTTAAATAACCCAGAGTCTCCCGGGTACGGTACCAATCCACCTAATCTGTCCGATAAAATAAACCTTTCACTTTTTCTCTTAGCTTGAAATGAAACCCGATTTCCCCCAGAGTAAATATATATATATATATATATATATATATATATATAGATAAAAGATGAACTTCTGGAGTCGGACTAGTTCAAAAACATTTAATCGCTATCTATTTATCTATCTATCTATTTACAGCTCTGGTGTTACCATTGAGCACTCTTATAGCAGATGAAGTCTTCATTAAATCTACTTATAGTTATATATATATATATATATATATATATATTTTAAATTTAAAGATCATAGTCCAGTTCTGATGGCATTTATTGTTGTCGTTTCATTTTATTTTATTTTATTTTTTTACATTTACTTCAAACGACTGACTTGTTCGAATTCCTCATTCAAGCCAACGTGAGGGGAAATGGCCAATGAAGAAGCCATTGATTTCAAGTTCAGTAGCCGATGCGCTTGCAGAATGTTACAAGAACGCAGGACACTGGGGATCACGAAGAGAAATCTTATCTATTAGGGACGGACCATTAGAAGAGTTATGGGCGGGGGGTGGGGAATTTTTGTGCCGCGGAAATTTTTTTCGTTATCAAATTCCCTCATGAATTTCAGTTTTAGGCCGTAGCATGAATATTTTTTAGGGTTAATTGGCGTGCATAAATTTTTTTCATTTAATTTTGCCTTGCGCGAATATATATTTTTTTGGTACTTCGCTTGCCGCCCCCCCCCTCCCCAATAATGTTTGTTTCAATTCACGAAAAGTGGCATTTAGCACAGCAGAAATTACATTTGTCATATATTAAGAAGGCACTCTGAAATACCGCACGTCCAGGCCAGGATTGCCCACGCGCAGCCAACAACTGGAAGTTCCATCTGTGAAGATGGGAAGAAAACACAATTTTTTGTTAAGACATCTGTTGATTTGATAATGCCCACGTCTCGAAGCAATGAAAATCTTCATTGAGGCTACCAATTAAATTCTTCATTTTCACAAATTTTATATTATACCAGGTTGTACGTTTGCTTTTCGCCTGCTTTTAGCGGATCCAGACCCCGGGCCCCGGGATCTTGACAGCTGTAATCTGATATTACTGTTGACAGTAATTTGTATACTGAGTCACAAAACGTTCGCATGGGCGCTTTATCCTTCAGATTGGCGCTTCCTTCTGCGGTGTCTAGCAGCATTTTGAGACAAAAGTTGTTGACAGATAAGGGAGAGAGGGTTTACTACGTGTTTACTAAGCGAACTTCGTTAGAAAGCATGCGTGTTGGTTATGAGTCTCAAACAGAGTTTAATATCGAATGGCAAATGTGACAGAAGGCAACGGGAAACATTTTACATTTTGCCGTAAAACTAGACTTGAAACAAAGAACAGGGTGAGTACTTTAACATTTACAACTTTGTGCCTGAATATTACCAAGACTTTTTCCGAGAGACGTTTCATGACCTTTGCCTGGTCGACTGACGATGGTCACGCATATGTTAAAGATGGCGTTACTTTATCTTGTCTGTAAAACGATTTTCAAATAATTTCTGAGAAGCTCAAAATGATTTCCCCAAAATAATTTTTGCATAACATAATAGTTTGATGCCTGTAGTGTATTTGCCTGCAATCTGAAAAAATTCTGATCAAAGGCACATGATGAAAATCGTCGCTGTTTTCAACGACCTTTCTTGGCTAAACATCAGGTAGTCGTACGCTTTAGCTTTTTTATAATTACTTAGACTGTTGTAATGCTAAAAATATTATATATTTTGATCAACGACGAGTTAAACTTAAAATTTTAGCAATAAGTTTTTTTCCTAGCGCGGCTGTATTGGAACGCGAGTCCAGCGAATCATGATGAATTTCAACCCTGTTTTTGGCTTGCGAAATCGACGGTAGGGCTTGAAACGGTTTTTTTCGTTTTTCTCGGAAACGAACAGATCTTTCGAAGAAAAAACCACATAGCGTTTGTATACTTGCTAATGTCTACCAGTCTGCAAAAGAAGAGCGATTTTGATTTTTTGAGCCTTGCCACGAATCGGCGATTTTGGTCGATTTTTGCATGGATTCGCTCTTAAGACTCTCAACATATCTAATTTTCGTAAAAAAATTAAATCACTACTCCTTAATGTTCTAGGTAATGAAGACAATTATTTGAATGTTAATTATTTCAAAGAATATTTTATGAAGTTAACCTGATATGTAGTATATACCTCTAGTGGTAATTTTAGTCTTTTTCAAATAACAAAATCCCCTGTACTTGAATTTATATGTAAGGTGTTTCTTTCTGTATGTTATTGTTTCTTTTCTTTACTTTTTTCTTATGTAATTTAATAACGTCTTAATTTAAAGTCTTGTTCTGCCTAGATTAGCATTATAGCTATTTGCAGGACATAAAGTATTGTAACTTTATACTTCTTTAAATAAATAATTGTTGTTGTTGTTGTTGTTAAGAAGATTCAAAGAAAGTGAGAAACTCGGTTGAAGCGGAAAGAGCGACATTCCCCTCGCATTTCTTTGCCTTTTGGTGACTACTTATATGCCCTAAATGGGATAATTGTCCATCGCAAGTTACCAGTTGCGCTTGTATACGCCATGGCCAGCAAAGAATAATTTCCCTATAACTACTACAGAGTGTATTTCTTCTAAAGTCGCCCGGAAACCAGTAGCTACAGTTAGTATGAAGTTAACTGAGGGCGCGTCATTATAAAAAAAATTAAGGGAAAGCTTAAATAACTAACCTTCTGGCTTTAAACTCTCGAGGTCCTTTCTGAGACCGGCGAGACCTTCTGCTACGTTATTCTTAGTGGCCCAGTGTTGCAGAATGTTTCCCAGTTGTTCATTATCGTCGTTCTGAGATTTACTCAGGTGACTCATGGATTTTTCAGGGACACCAAGCAACTTACCAATGGGAATAAGGTTAAAAATGACTCCCTCTACACCTAGTAAACGTCTTATATAGCCTTTCAGGTCTGTAAAGAAGGAAATACGTGTATAGTAAACAGTTACTTATGAAGTACAGAATGCCTTTAAATTACGCTTGTTTAGAGCCAATTTAGGCCTCCTTAATGTCTGGTCGAGACTCAAGTAGGACAATGGAACCAAAAAACCCCTGGCAACGAATTCAAAGCACTCTGATTTCACGCAAGATTTCTTGGATTTTACAGCTTAAGGAAACAAGCAACCTGCGTCGCCATGATGGATAACTCAGTCTCTCATTTTTGGTATCCAAAAATACGATCAAATTTAATTAAATATCATTTCTACTACCCCAATAGGTCAAACCTACCTCCTTCGCTGAAATGCCTCTCACTTGTATGTCCATACTCTCCCAGCACGCTGACCTTCCCACACAGACTTCTGACATCTTTATTCCACTCAAGGGGTATTCTCATAACCTTTCCTTCGTGCCACCAATCACAAGAACACACGGTCAAACTGGTAGTTTCTTGGTGAAAGTCAACTAGTTTGTAGTCTTGCCCAAGGATAACATTAACAAGAAGGGTTTCATTGTTGTAGACGCTCTTTTCGTCCCAACTAGAACATACATGGAGTTCTACGAACCCTTCTCTTTGAAGCTGTTTCAAAGCAGATGATGTCCCGCCCTCTCTGAAGAATTGGTCATGGTAGACGTCTTCGCTAACGAACAGTAAAGCAAGTTCGTCATTCACTGAAGATGTAGAGAACTGGAACTAGTTAGAATAATATCGAAAAGGACTGGCTCTAGCCAAGATGATGTAATCGCAAGATGGCGGAAAACGCCACCGACACGTATTAAAAGAGTTAGAAGTTTGGAGTAATTTGTGGTTGATTTAGGCGTGTAGTCTAACAAAATTGGCGACCCCGCCAGGATTTGTAACCCGACGAAGATGAAACACTGGATGGAACGTTTCTGGCGATCGATTTTGGTATGTTTTTGAGCATATTTGTGTCTCTCATCGCTTTGACCACGTGCTTCCACTGCCCGCCATTGTCAATCGGAAACATCGGAACTGAGGCCTTGCCGATGATGGCAGAAGATCTTCAATTGGAATTACAGTCTAGCATCTATGCCGCGGACTGGAGCTCACTCGAGCGAATGGCCAAGTTCTTCAAAGTTGAATATGAGGGAAAAACAAAATTGTTTGTGGCGAAACGTGTTGCTCTACGGCTCGATGATGAAATTGAAAAACTGAAGGAAGCCGAAGTCGTGCCGTACCTCAAGGACGTAAAAGAAATGCTGACAGAGAAACCCCATGGCATCAAGAACGATGAAGAAGATGGTAAGCCAGTTCTAAGTGATTCAAAACCTCCTCCCGTAGCGAAGGAAGATCCTGTTCAAAAACTACTAGCGACTAGCGCGTTACGTAGACAGTTTAAGATCAGTGGTCAAATCGGGGAACCCGAGCAGAAAGACAAAATTAGTTTTTCTTCCCTTATGCGTCAAATTCAAATGGGGTTGGCCCAAGGTTATGGCGAGAGTGAAATTGTTGATGGTGTTATTCGCTCAATTACACCTGGCATGGTACTTAGGAGTTACCTCGAAACTTACGAAGATTTGACATTGGATCGGTTAAAGAAAATTCTCCGTAGCCACTATGGTGCAAAGAATACATCAGAACTCTATCAAACACTGGCATCCCTATGTCAGAGCCCAAAGGAGTCACCCCAGGCATTTTTGATGAATGCTCTTGATCTGAGGCAACAAATCCTGTTTGCATGTGGTGAAGAAGAAGGTGAAATATCCCTACAGTATGACTCTGGACACATACAACGTCTGTTTCTTCGGTCAGTAGAAACTGGTTTACAGGATGAAAGTATTCGTGCTAAGATTCGCCCATTCCTGAAGGACTCAAATGTGACAGATGAAGTGTTGATGCAACAGATGAGCATGGCTACGTCAGCAGAAAAGGAAAGGGACAAGAAGCTTAAGAATAATACCAAGACCAAACAACCACCATTATCAGTGTCTGCGGTATCTGATGGCCCACCTAAAGAAAAAGGAAGGAGGCAAGAAGAACAGCCCTCAGAATGATCTTCTAACAGCTATAAGTGCAATCAAGTCAGAAGTCGAGGCATTGAAAAGCGAGGTCAGGAAGAACAGCAATCAAAGTGTACCTCCAGGCAAGTGGCCAGAGAGAAGAAGACCACCTTTGTGTTCAAGCTGCCTCGAGAACAGAAAGGAATATTGCAATCACTGTTTTAAGTGTGGGAGCGAATCTCATCTGGCAAGGGGATGCAGGAAGCAGTTAAACAGGAATCGACTGCTCCCGCGAGACAGGAAGCAGTCGTAAACCCACCAAAGTCTCACCAATGTAGCCACTGTTGTAAAACCGAGTAGAGCATGGACAACTTAAAAGATGTAGTCAGTGTCAGAGTGTATGGTATTGCACCACGCGATGTCAAAGGGACACTGGGCTGAACACAAGGTGTTGTGCCAAGCAATAAGTCATCTTTCTGAGGCGAGTACAAGTAAGTCAAAAGAGTTTGTAGACCCAGCCTGTGTCAGTCATTTAACTCCAAGTGAGCATGCTAAAGTTATTGGCCTTGTTGGCAAGAAGTGTATGGTGAAGTGCTTGCTCAATGACTATGAATGTGAAATGTTATGGGACACTGGTGCCCAGGTTTCAATAATATCAGTCGACTCTGTCCAAAGATGCTTAGGACAAGTAGCCATTAGACAGTTGTCAGAACTCTTGGAGACAAGCCTTAGCCTAACAGCAGTGAATGGGTCTCAAATACCCTACATTGGGTGGGTGGAAGCCAGAGTTATGCTAACTCCTCCTGGTAGTGATAGCAATCAAGAGGAACTGTTAGTGCCTTTTCTAGTGACATCAGAAAAGTTGGACTGTCCCATTTTGGGATACAATGTCATTGAAGAGTTAGTAAGTCAGGACCAGAATCCAAACCCAACAATTTACAAGAGTTTCCCTGGAACAGATAAGACAAAAGTAGATGCCTTGGTAAATTTCATTCAGAGTTCAAGTTCAGATGCCATTTGTAAAGTGAGGACGGGAAGGAGAGATGTGGTGATACCAAGGGATAGCATGATAACTGTTGGCTGCCGTGCAACTACAGGACCAGTAAACAAGCTAACACCAGTACTGTTTGAGCCAAATGAATTGGCACAGTTACCAGAGGGTTTAGAAGTTAATGGAACTTTGTTAAATGTCAAACCAGGAAAGTCATCTAAGGTACAGATTGCTGTACACAATGGGACAGACCATGATATTCTGCTTAAGAGTCGCACCCCGTTAGGAGTCCTTCAGGCAGTCAAATCAGTGACAACAGCAGATGTTAGACTGAGTGAATGTAGAACCCAGCATGACCAGCAATATTTTGAGAAACCTAAACCTCAGGGACCCACCACCCCTGCTGAGCAGCAAAACAAAGAAAATGAAAACCCACTTCCGGCAGTTGATCTCGGTGATTTGGATCATGACCAGCGGATTGCAGCTGAAATGATGCTGAGGGAAGAGTACGAGTCATTCTCATCCAATGAAGAAGATATTGGCTGCATCCCTGATCTGGAAATGGAGATTAATCTGCATAATAACCAGCCAGTGCAAAAGAAGTACACGTCAATTCCTCGACCACTGTATCCGGAGGTGAAACAGTACATTGAAGACCTTCTGAACCAGAATTTCATCACTGAATCCAAGTCCCCATACTCCTCTCCAGTTGTCTGTGTTCGCAAGAAGGATGGGTCTCTAAGGCTATGCATTGACTATCGAGAACTAAATCGCAAGACTATTGCTGACAGACATCCCATTCCTAGAGTCCAAGAGACCTTGGATAGTCTTGGCGGAAATAAGTGGTTCAGTGTACTTGACCAGGGTAAGGCGTATCATCAGGGGTTCGTAAACAGGGACAGTAGAGCAGCGACAGCATTCATTACACCGTGGGGGCTATATGAATGGGTAAGGATCCCATTTGGATTGATGAACGCACCTGCGAATTTCCAACGGTTTATGGAACGTTGTTTGGGTGAACTAAGGGACAAAGTGGCTATACCGTACCTCGATGACATCATAGTATTTAGTAGGACATTTGCAGAACACATCGAGCACCTGAGAACAGTATTGCGAAAGTTACGAGCACATGGAGTCAAGTTGAAGCCGCGCAAGTGTAGTTTGTTCAAACGCGAGGTCAAGTTCTTAGGAAGAGTTGTGTCAGGTGATGGTTACCAGATGGATCCAGGGTGTGTACAAGCTATCGAGAAGTTAAAGGAAGTAACACCCAAAACTGTTGGTGAAGTAAGACAGCTTGCAGGAATACTAAGTTACTACCGAAGGTACATTAAAAACTTTGCTAAAATTGCGAAACCGATCTATGACTTGCTTACCAGCACAGGACAGGATGGACAACAGCCCTCAAAGACGCCAATCGTTTGGGAAGAGAACAGCAACTAGCCCTCGAGAAGTTAGTGGGACACCTCAGTAATCCACCCATTATGGCTTATCCAGATTTCTCAAAAGCATTTACTCTCCACACCGACGCAAGTAAAGACGGTCTCGGGGCAGTGTTGTACCAAAACCAGGATGGGGTCATGCGAGTTATTGCTTATGCTTCACGAGCGCTGTCACCAGCTGAGAAAAAGTACCACCTTCACGCAGGAAAACTTGAGTTTCTTGCTCTAAAATGGGCAGTGACTGAACACTTCCGTGACTACCTTTACTACTCGCCAAAGTTTACTGTTTTCACTGATAACAACCCCTTGACATACATCCTAACATCAGCGAAACTGAACGCCACTGGTTTACGGTGGGTTAATGAATTAGCCGACTTCCATTTTGAGATCAGGTATCGACCAGGAAAAGCCAACGCAGATGCTGACACCTTGTCTCGTATGCCAATCAGTTTTGAGGGCTATATGAAAAGTTGTTCGGAAGTAGTTAATCAGGATGTTCTGGATGCTGTCACATCTTCAGTCCATGTAACTAGCACCCCCCAGACCGCCTGGTTGTCATCTCTCACCGCAGTACACGACATGTTAAAGGAAGAGCGTGTAGACATTCCAACTCTGCCACGTGATGAACTTGTCGCAGCTCAGCAAGAAGATCCATCAATTGCTCGTGTTTTACAGTTTATTCAAATTGGAAGGCGTCCCACCTATCAGGAAAGGCAGCAAGAGACAGCTATTGCCCGACAACTCTTACACGAATGGAATAAACTGTTTATTGCTGAAGATGGAATCCTTTATCGGAAAACTGGGTGTGGAGACAAAATGGTTTTACCCAAGAAATACCACAAAAGGGTGTATGAAGAGCTACACGAAAACATGGGGCACTTGGGTGCCGACAGAGTAGTGGAACTAGCTAGGGAACGCTTCTATTGGCCGTTTATGAGAGCAGACATCACCCATTATGTCACAAAAGTGTGTCGTTGCCTGAAGCAACGTAAACCCGCAACTCATGTCCACGCACCACTTCAGCCTATCCTCTCCACAGCACCTTTCCAACTCGTCTCCATGGACTATGTTCATCTCGAACCAAGCTCGGGTGGATACCAGTACATATTGGTAATCATGGATCACTACACCAGATTTGCCCAAGCATACGCCACCGGGATAAGTCTGCGAAGACCGCTGCCAACAAACTGTATAATGACTTTATCATGAGATTTTGGGTTTCAGGAACCATTCATCATGACCAGGGCGGAGAGTTCGAAAACAAACTCTTCTACAACCTTGAGAAACTGAGTGGGATCAAACATTCGCGGACAACCCCCTACCACCCACAAGGGAATGGGCAGGTTGAAAGGTTCAACCGAACACTTCTATCAATGCTGAGAGCCCTGCCAGAGAAACAGAAATCCCGTTGGCGTGACCATCTCAATAAAGTAGTCCATGCATACAATTGCACTCGCCACGACTCTACTGGATTCTCACCTTTCTATCTACTATTCGGTAGGACGCCAAGGCTACCCATCGACCTAATGTTTGGCTTGAAACCTCCAGAGGGATATTCTACATACCCTGAGTATGTTAAAAATTGGCGAAGAGCCATGAAAGAAGCTTACGAACTAGCCTCCGCTCATGCAAAGAAAAGTGCAGACATGGGGAAACAACAGTATGACAAGAAAGTTAGACATACCACGCTACGTGAAGGAGACCGTGTTCTTGTGCGAAACATGACGGAGCGTGGTGGCCCAGGAAAGTTACGCTCTTATTGGGAGCAAGAAACCACGTTGTTACTCAAAAGAGGGAGGATATGCCAGTTTACGAGGTAAAACCAGAGACTGGTAATGGAAGGACAAGAGTTCTGCATCGCAACCTGCTGCTACCATGTTCCTTTCTACCTGTTGAGATACCACCTAAGCCATCCAAGAGTCGTCGCGACGATGCCCAGGACAACCCGAAGACAGCAGGAGCTACAAGAGAACACAACCAGAACCACTGATGAGAACATCCCTGAGTTAACACCTGGTCAACTTCAAGAATTTTACGAGTCTACGAGGAATCATACTGAAGACAATTGCCAAATTGTTCCAGAGTTAGATGAACACGACACTTACCCTTGTCAAGTTGATGGTCCAGGCTCAGAGGGAGAGGCTGAAGACACAGAGCAACCAAGTGGTGCGTTCGATGATGAAGCTGTAGATGGTGTACCTCTAAGACAGTCACAGCGCGTAAGCAGACCACCCCTCAGGATGACCTATGATGCAATGGGACAACCCTCCTTTCAACCCAGTTCCACAACAGGAATTCGCGGCATCACAGCATCATATCCACACCAGTTATGGCAGCCTATCCCGGTATCATGGATGGTGCAACAACCTGTCTTTCAGCCCTTCAGTTATTTTGTACCTTTCCCAGTACACGTTCAGCCGATGTATCCTGTGCCTGCGTGGCGTTACCAGCAAGCCTGGTGGCATTAACTTGAAGAGAAAGGAACTGATTTGGACCAATTGAAATTACGTTCGTTTTAGATAAGACGGATAAATGTTTAGTATAGTATAACTCACATGTCGTTCGTTTTAAGAGGTACAACCTTGTTTTATTAGGAGATTTTTTTTTTTTCTCGATCTCTACATGTTCTTTGTACGGGCAAACAATCGATATAGGCGCGTTATCGAACAGTACAGTGCAGTAAAGATAACACAGTAACATTTGGGCAACTTAAGCGAACATTCTGGCCTGATCAACCAGGATAACTTTGTTGACCCAATAATGAGATACAAGAATACGAGGAACTGTTACACGAGATAACCCACAAGAGACTATGGTCTATCCGTTCATGTTGAGGACAACATCTTTTTCCAGAGGGGGAGAATGTAGAGAACTGGAACTAGTTAGAATAATATCGAAAAGGACTGGCTCTAGCCAAGATGATGTAATCG